GGAAAAGGCTTTGGCCCAAAATCGAGTAAAAGTCTGAAACCTGCAGGAAATTTGCTGATTTGTATCAGGAAAGTATCCGAAAAGCATTGACTGAATTTTGCAACTCACACAAATTTCGAAGGCAAGGGGTAACAAAGCTGCGAATTTTGGGTACGTGGGGTAATCGAGGCGCGATTTTGGGCTTCGTGGGATACTCGAATCGCGCATTTCTTGCGTCAACTTCGAAACATCCAGACCGAACTGTACACCTGGTCACGACCGACCCTTGGGATTCCCCCATGGTGTGATACTGCTGGTATCCGATCGGTGAACGCTTTCACGAGATTTGCGAGAACAGTAACGATGATACGTAACAGGACGAATCTTGCCAAGGTGCAACCAACACTCGAAACAAGCAACTGGCACACAGGTTCAAAGTCACACCCAATCCATGCTAAGAGTTCAGATTCACTGTACTAACGTGGCTTCCCCGGACCAGGGTTTAGCTAACCGGTAACGAAGTGGTCCATCGTAATGATTTTTAACTAACCAATCAATGGTGTGCACTTGCCTACCTCAGAAATCCACGGCAATTTTTGACGACACATCAGCACACCTCCGAGCTCCAGAAGCATCTGTCTTTCCTACCCTCACACTGCACTTGACTCTATCCCGTTCAAGCACCTGTCACTTGCCTCATTCTCACACAACCGGTTGAGGTTCTTCATTTCTCGCATACATCTCCTGCCTCTAAGTGTGCACCCGAAGACGATAGCCCATCGTATTTTTTATTGTATCTTCTTACTGTTGCTTACTCGAATCTATGTCTTTACCCTTCCGCCCCTCCGAATCCTCACCTTCCCTTTTACAGTTTAAACATCAGCGTTTTCCTCACGCGGAGAACGTGGCACCAACGACTAGTAACGGAATTGCCGAGTTCCGCGCTCAAAGCGCCGAAAGGTGTGCTACACATGCTTTCTATAGCTCGAGACCTAGCAATCATTTATCCGTGCGTGTGCCTTAGGTTGCAACTCTGATATGTGTTTCCATCCGTTCATCTATGCTCACGGGTTATTCTTCACGAGCAATCGCCTTGCACGTAACTTCCCAATATGTGTGCAGATCTTTCGCCGTCGCTTGTGACCTGTGCATTATTTCCTGCCCCTGCCACTCCTCCCATTCCCTCTTCGCACTAATCAGTTGCGCTTCTTTTTTCCCCCAGCCTCCCAATACTGCTCGTCGGCATGTTCACTGCTGAGGACCGAAGGTCCCAGCTTAGGACCTTCGGCCCGCGAATCATAGGGGACGCGCCGTCGTCAACGCGAGAACGCGGAGGGTGTTTACTCGCACGCAGGCCTCTCTCTACCTCTGTTTGAGCTTCTCACCATGCGCCTTCTTATCCCATGCTGTCTGGAATCCAGCCTTTAACGATAATGTTCATGTGTCTGTTGTTCTGGTGGTCATAGTGTTTCAAGATTGATTTTCACGTGCAGGGTTAATGGAAGACACGCGACATGAACTTCTATTTCCAACTGTCTCATCAATATGCAGAAGCTACCCAGCACGTTCAAGCAATGTTACAAGTGGCGGTGAAGCCCCGCAGGTGGTAAGTCACTGAGGTGGGGAACGCGCATATGACTAACCAAGCTCTAACGTTATGTGTGTACTGTTTGCAGGCGTTATAAAGAAGCATTTTTTCGTAGCATGTGCCCTCTACACAAGACGTGAAGCTATGTACAAGTGCTTGGTGTTAGCTGTGTACGTTTTTACATAGTGTTCGCGTGAGGTGTATACTTAATGAGTATGTATGCAAATGTGAAACATATTATAGATCTTCACCAAACTGTAACTCTCAGACTAAACCAGTAACAAAAAACTATTGTAACGAATGACCTGCTTGTACTTGTCAGAACTAATGAACAGGAATGGATGAACTATGAAAGAAGTGAGTACAAGTACTAACCCTAATTGGGTTGTACCCCCTATGGGATACCCCACTACAGCCTACACAAATGTATAAGCTCTATAACATTCTGCCACACCCCCATAGGCAAAGTGGGGGAGAACAAGGGGTCACAAGACCAGTCCAGCAAAGCAAAGCAAAGCAAAGCAAGCTCAGGGTGGATCTCAAAGTAACCACACAGTCTGAGCACAAGGTCAAGGCCACAAGGCCAGTTCACATGCAAGTGTACACATATATATAAAGCTAGACAAGCAAGAGCAGGTATATATATATATATATGTAACAGTACAAGGAAGGTCAAGAGGTGAGCAAGTGAGGCAAGACAGGTACAAGACCCAGCTGGGTGCAGAAGCGCTGATGATCACAAGGCGCAAGTGCCTTGGTGAAGACATCAGCAGTGTTGGCCTTAGAGGCCACGTACGCAAGCCGCAACTGACCACGCTGCTGTAGCTCACGAGCAAGGAAGTAGCGAAGAGCAATGTGCTTTGTTCTGTGCTCCAGTCTCTGCTCGCGACACAAGGCCAGCATGGCCTTGTTGTCTACGCACAGGACTGGAGGAGAACGAGGCGGCTCTCCAAGGTCGGTCAGCAGGTAGGTGAGCCAGCGAAGCTCCTGTGCAGCCATGGCTCCGGCGTAGATCTCAGCCTCACAACTGGAGCCGAGAACGGAAGACGAGCGAGTAGCCCGCCACGAAACAGAGCCGGAACCAAGGCTGAAGGTGTAACCCTGTGACGACCGCTGCGTAGCCTGGTTGTCAGCCCAAGAAGCTTCCGCGTGCCCAGTGAGGACCACTAGACTGCGCCCTCCAAGCACTAGCCCCATGCCCGACGTACTGCACAAGTAGCGCAACACCCTCTTCGCTGCAGCCATGTGCTCTGGTCGTGTCTCCCAGGAGCAACATAGCGTGCGAGAATGCTAAGAGGGTATGCAAGGTCAGGTCGTGTGCAGGTCATCAGGTACATGAGGCAGCCAACAAGCTCTGGATACAGGCCACTCGACTCTACGGACTCATCCGAAGGTAGAGCTGAGAGTGAGTGGCGAGTAGGGAGAGGAGTGGCCTGAGGCGAGGAGTACGTGAAGCCGAAGCGCTGAAGGACCTGCTGAACCATGTGTGACTGAGTCAGGGTAATGGTGCGACGTGCTCTGTCCCGGGTGATCTGCAAGCCAAGTTAGCTCCGCAGTTCACCCAGGTCAGTGCACGTGTGTCTCTTCTGCAGCTCGGACTTCACGTAGGCGAGTCCAGCAGTGATAGCTGTGGCAAAGCCCAAGTCGTCAACATACACGAGGATGTAGAACGGCGGCAGAGAGGTGTCGGTGCGCAGAAACAGCGACGGGTCGGCAGTAGAAGGAGCAAACCCAAGAGCCGCAAGCATAGTCCTCAGTGTGTCGTGCCACTCACGTGAGACCGTAGACTGGACGCCGGAGATTCCACTGGGTACCAGGAGGGAAAGACCCAGTGAAGCCAGGTGGGCGGCGCAGCCAGATCTCCTCGTGCAGGCTGCCCTGCAAGAAAGCTGTGCTGAAGTCGACAGAGTGCAGCTCATAGTGACGGTGAGCAGCAACGTGCAGCAGTACCCGAAGAGTGGTCATCTTCGGGGTGGGGGAGAAGGTATGAAAGTAGTCAACTCCCTGCCGCTGACTGAAGCCACGAGCCACGTATCGCGCCTTGAAGACAGGCGGAGAACCCGGCGGCCACTTCACCCTGAAGATCCACATGCCACTGACGATGTTCGCCCCAGGAGGGGGAACTGCGTCAACGTAGGTGCCTGTGGACTTCCAGGAAGCCATCTCTGCATCCATAGCTGCCTGCCACTGAGAAGAGTAGGGACCCTCTATTGCCTCCGCGTTAGAGCGCGGAGTCGGGATGTCAAGTGCATCCGGGTCTCCCTCAGGGGTAAGCAGTACGGACACGAGATGAGGTGAAGCAGCGGCCAAGCGCTGGAACTCCTCCTACCTGTCCTCAAGGACGTCCGTGCCAAGGGCACACTCACCCCCGACGGACGGAGGACAGAAAGACTTAGACTCAGCGACAAGACTAGCAGCTTAGTCTAGGCAACAGCGAGCAGCAAAGTCGACGAGCTCATTAACTAGGGCAGACGCAGCAGTGGACTCGAAAGAAGGGTCAGTGACGACAGTAGCCAGGAGACGCGTGACAGTAGGACTGGCAGAACGAAGAGAGTCCGACTCTGGGTCGGCAAAAGCAGGAAGAGAGGACTCACGAGGAGAAGGCAAAGGGGCACGCAGAGGAGCAGTGGACAGACGCAGAGACATCCGGTGCGTGCCAGGGACAGGAGGAGGACGCTGACGCGAACCACGACCACTAGCGCTACCAGGACGGACAGGCGACGCAGGGCAAGACGCAGGCTCACGACGCTCAGTAAGACCTCCAGTAGGACCAGCGTAGGGAGAAGGAGCAGGTAGCGGGGAGGCCGGCTGCAACTGTAACTGTGACGGGACAGGCTGTGGACACGCTAAGGGAGGAGGACTAGGAGGAGGCGAGAGACCAAGAACCTGCTGAAGGAGCAGTACAAAGTACGGTCGAGGCCGCGCGGCGACTCCAGACACAGCAGGGACAGCACCAGCACCCCGAGCGGTAGCACCAGTACCAGCAGCAGCTCCAACGCCCGACTCCACAGCACCAGCACCCGGGTCCGCAGCACCAGCAGCAGCTCCAACGCCCGAGTCCACAGCACCAGCAGCAGCTCCAACGCCCGGGTCCTCAGCACCAGCAGCAGCTCCAACGCCTAGGTCCTCAGCACCAGCAGCAGCACCAGTGCCCGGGTCCACAGCACCAGCAGCAGCTCCAATGCTCGGGTCCGCAGTACCAACAGCAGCAGCGGGGTCCGCGACAGCAGGCGCGCCACTCCAAAGAGTGCAGCGCCGCTCGTACCACTCACGAATCCGCTCACGGGAGGGGAGCTCCCCGCTAGGAGAAGAAGCACTAGCACCAGTCCCTGTAGTACGCGTAGCTCGAGAGGTACCGCTCCTGAGGCTGCAGTACTGTAAGTACCACGCACGCAGCTGCTCCGAGGAGAGGGCTCCTCCAGGTGTAGGACCCTCAGGCTAAGGACCTCCAGACTCAGAACCCCCAGACTCCGGACTCAGCGGCTCAGCACCCCCAGGCTCAGCACTCCCAGGCTCAGCACCCCCAGGCTCAGCACCCCCAAGCTCAGCACCCCTAGGCTCCGCACCCCCAGGCTCAGCACCCCCAGGCTCAGCACCCCCAGGCTCAGCACCCCCAGGCTCAGCACCCCCAGGCTCCGCACCCACAGCAGGACGAGAGTCGACAGCTACCTCAACAGGCTCAACCGGGTCTACCTGAGACACACCTGAGGGAGCAGCACCCTGAGGGTGGAGGAGGTCTACGACAGCAGCACCTAGCTCGAGGAAGAGAGGCGGGGGGGGGGAGCAGGGCAGTGCGGTAGGGGAAGAAGCGGTAGTAGGGGACGGACTCGTCAAAAGTGACGTCCTGAGAGGGCAAGACTCGGCGCGAGGTGGCGTGGTAAAACTGCCAACCAGACGCATCCGGGACAAAGTCGAGGAAGACGCAGGGAACAGCACGAGAGGAGAGCTTGTCCGCAGACGTATCGCGGACAAAAGCTCGAGATCCCCAGACTCGGAAATGCGACGCATCGCCAACCTCCTCCGTCCACAGCAGTGTGGGCGAGGTCTCCGGCAAGGAGACACGGGGTCAGAGGTTGAGCTGATGCGCAGCGTACCGGACCGCAAACAGCCACAGAAAGTGGGGGGCAGCCGCATGGATCAAGGAGGTACGGGCGACCTCCATGACCAGGCCAATGCGGCGCTCCGCAACCCCATTCTGCTGTGGAGAGGCCAGAAGCGTGAACGACTGCTCAATGCCGTGCTCAGCACAGTAGGCTGCCAAGAGGTCGGAGGAGAACTCACCACCTCTGTCAGAGTGCAAGCGCAGGACAGGAAAGTCCGAGCACAAACGCTCGCTGAGCTGGAGACGGGCTCTGCTGATCCAAGGGATCAAGACATCAGGGACCTCACCCTTGGTGCGCAAGGGGAAGACCGTGGTGTAGCGCGAGTAGTCGTCAACAACTATCAGGAAGTACCTCTCCTGACCCTGACCACAGACGCGGGCTGGGCCCCACACGTCCATGTGGAGCGTCTGCAAGGGAGCAGTCGTCGGGGGAAACGAGGAGTGAGGAGCGGCGCGCTGCCGCCCCTCGACACAGGGAAGACAGGGAGGAGCAGGCGAGGGTGGGAGGGGAGGGAGGACCCTGGGAAGACCAGAGACAAGGTACCGGGAGTGCATAGCACGAAGGCGCTGCACAGACGGGTGGCCAAGTCGGTGGTGCCAGAGGACAGTCTCGTGCACAAGAGAGCGACACAAGCAGGGGGCAGACAGCTGACCTGACGTAGATGCAGACGCAGACGCAGCGACCTGAGGGGACTCAGTGGTCAGTGTGTACAGGTTTGACCCCGGCTGCCGAGTGAAGGTAGCCAAGTGGCAGCCCGTACGAGCACACGTGCAGTGTGTCACACGCTCGTAGGCAGGGGTGAACTGGTTAACACCCCCGTCCTGGAGCGCACAACCTGCCACCAAGTTCGTAGAGAACGAGGGGAGGTGGAGACCTGATAGTGTGCCCGACGGGACCGCAGGACAGGGAAGAACAGTGGAGTACGTCGCAATGACCGGACCCCCAGAGGGGTCAGCGAGGGAGACAGCTACCGGCCGAGCAAGCGGCTCAAGGGCAGTGCGGTCACGAAAGAAGCAGCGAGAAGCACATGAGTCCAGTGTGAAGGTGTGCAATGCTGCTGTCGACTCAGTACCAGGGGGGGCAGATGCACAAGCACCTAGAGCAGCTGCCTCACCAGCACCTGGGTTAGCAGACACGCGAGTACCTGGAGCGGTAGACGCACTAGTCCTAATGCCCGGGTCGGGCGGCACACACAGGTACTCAACACCGTCTCCAGTAGTAGACATCACATACATAGCAGTGAGAATAGCATCAAATTCTAGAGCATAGATATCAACCCCCTTCTTCAGGAGATCAACCCAGCGGGGCAGCTCAGTGGCCTGAGGGAACTGAACACGCCAAGCGTCGTTCAGACGAGCGAAGCAGCACTGTGTGGCGTGCGGTCCCCCACACGGCTGACCAGTGTGGTCACTAGTGCGAATGACGTATGTGCAGCTAAAGCCACCTCCCCCCCCCCCCCCCCCCCCCCCTGCTGAGAGTACCACTCACGGACCTCCTGGGGCGACGGAGTGTGCTGCTGGCCCTGGCCACCGCCAGCGCCTCCACGACCACCACCGCCGCCACCACCTCCTCGACCACCCCAACCTCTGCCGCCGCCGCGTCCACCACCACCCCCAGCACCGCTTCCGCCCCGGCCACCTCCCCCGCCGCTGCCGCCACCACCCCCACCGCTGCCACTAGCCCCTCCAATCGCGCCACCACCCCCACCGCCGCCACCTCCCCCACCACCGCCTCCCCCGCTGTCACCACCACCGCCCTTGCCCCCTTTGCCCTTGCCGCTGCGGCGCCCGCTCGAAGCAGACGCAGTCCCGACCTTCTCAACACCAAGGAGGTCGACAGCAGCAGAAGAGGCGATAGAGGGAAGAAGGGGGGAAGGAGAACACCCCTCAAAGAACGGGGTACGGGGGTTGCCACGAGAGGCACCTACAGCGACTATGCTAGCCTCAGCTGCAAGCAGTTCCTTCTCGAGGAGGGCAATGGTGAGCTTAGTGGGGCAGCGAGCTAGGAAGTGGTCCCTGACAGCACGCAGTGTGTCAGGGAGGCGGGTGACTAGGTGGTAGAGAGTGAGCCAGAGTGGGGGGGGGGGGGGGTGAGTGGCAAGGAACTCAGCGGGCATGGCGGCACGGAAGCGGGCCTCACTAGTACGGAGGTGCGTGATGAGGTCAGCAACTGTGTGGAACAAGGCTAAGTCAGGGAACAGGTAGGGAAGAGAGAGACGGCCTAGTGCAGCAGAGGCCGGTGAGGAGTAGCGGGCAACGACAGCAGTGTACAGTGCCTGTGCAGTCTTGTGCTGCCCAAAGTGCTCGCGCTCATCTATCGGCAGGGAGTTGCGAATAGCGAAGCGAGCGTGGGCGTCACGAGTCTGCCACTGTGAGCGAGCAGTGCTGTCAGCAGTAGCAGCAGGAGCAGTAGCATGGCCTAGGGCGTGATCGTACAGTGAGATGTCTTCCTTGGCAGTGAGCTGTAGGAAGAGGTGTAGGTCATCTAGCCAGGTTTCGAACTTCATTGGGCGGCCCTCAGCATTGAACGCTAGTACAGGAGGGCTAGCCATAGCAGTAGCAGGAGTAAAAGTGGTAGTAGCAGTAATAGCAGTAGTAGGGACTCAGGTAGGGCGGCTCGGTCCAGTACGTGGGGCGCGGCTCGGTTCAGGTAGGGCGGCGCGGCTCGGTAAGGGCGGCGCGGCTCGGTTCGGGTTAGGCGGCTCGGTTTGGGCTGGGCGGCTCAGTTCTGGCTGCTCGGGTCGGGCGGCTCGTTCTAGGCGGGGCCGTTAGAGGCCTCTAGGGGCGAGCGCGGGGCCGATCGGGGCTAGTAGGGGCGAGCGCGGGGCCGTAAGGGGCCGCTAAGGGCGAGCGCGGGGCCGATCGGGGCCGTGAGGGACGAGCGCGGGGCCATAAGGGGCCTCTAAGGGCGAGCGCGGGGCCGATCGGGGCCGTGAGGGATGGGCGTGGGGCCGTAAGGGGCCGCTAAGGGCGAGCGCGGGGCCGATCGGGGCCGTTAGGGACGAGCGCGGGGCCGTAAGGGGCCGCTAAGGGCGAGCGCGGGGCCGATCGGGGCCGTTAGGGAAGGGCGCGGGGCCGTAAGGGGCCGCTAAGGGCGAGCGCAGGGCCGATTGGTGCCGTTGGGGACGAGCGTGGGGCCGTAAGGGGCCGCTAAGGGCGAGCGCGGGGCCGATCGGGGCCTCTAGAGGCAAGCGCGGGGCCGTAAGGGGCCGTTTGGGGCAAGCGCGGGGCCGTTAGGGACGATCGCGGGGCCGAAAGGGGGGGGGGCGCTAGGGGCGAGCGCGTGGGCCGTTCGGGGCCTCTAGAGGCATGAAAACCGAGGCGCCCTAGGGCGCAGGTAGGTAGGTAGGTAGTGGTGGGCCCTAAAAAAAAATTGGTCCTGGGAAGGACCTGCTCTATACCATGTCAGAATTAATGAACAGGAATGGATGAACTATGAAAGAAGTGAGTATTAGTACTAACCCTAATTGGGTTGTACCCCCTATGGGATACCCCACTACAGCCTACACAAATGTATAAGCTATATAACATTCTGACAGTACTGTTCAGGCTAATCGGCGACCAGTAGAAATCAATTTTCACACACGACAAGCTAATGTCTGATTGGCCCACAAGGCAAGCTTCCGATCACATATCGAGACTGACACCTGGCACAATATCTTTGCTTACGTGGCAAAATATCTTCGCGAACGTACCGGCGTACGTACACTTCGAAGTCGAAACTGTATGCATGCCACGTGGCAGGTGGTGAAACTGCATACATATGACTGAAATGTATACGCAACGTGTCCAAAGATTGTCCGATAAGTTGCGGTTGTGTTGCGGGAAAGTTGCAGGAATGCAACTTTTTCACAACTTTCCCGCAACCACGATTTCTGCAACATTTGACCATCACTGGAAAGTTGCAAAACCAAGGTATCCAAAAAGTATCCTTTTTGCAACTTTCCCGCATCTTTCTGGCAAGTCCTTTTTCGCGATGTGTGCTCGGTTGATCATCTGCTCCTCTTACCCCTTTGCTTTTGTCACTCCCTAGGTGCGCTTGTGCTCATCTGCTTCTCCTGCTCATCCGCTTCTCCTGCTCATCCGCTTCTCCTGCTCATCCGCTTCCCCTGCTCATCCGCTTCCCCTGCTCATCCGCTTCTCCTGCTTTTTTCCAACTCCGAATCAGATTGTGTTGGCCGGCACGGCGACTGACCAGGGATCTGGCGCCACGGTGACTAGCCACGGTGACGGGGAGGGGTCCATTGACATAGGGACGAGTGAGTCGTCGTATCGTGTGTGTAGCTTTGTTGTTGGACCCTTGCTTGACTCTTGCTGCTCGCTTCGCTCCTGCTGCTCGCTTCACCCATGCTGCCCGCATACTGCCCGCTTCACCCATGCTGCCCGCTTGACCCATGCTGCCCGCTTGACCCATGCTGCTCGCTTGACCCATACTGCTCGCTTGACCCATACTGCTTGCTTGACTCATACTGCTCGCTTGACCCATGCTGCTCGCTTGACCCATACTGCTCGCTTTACCCATGCTGCTTGCTTGACTTTTGCTGCTCGCTTCGCTCCTACTGCCCGCTTCACCCATGCTGCCCCCATGCTGCCCGCTTCACCCATGCTACCCGCTTCACCCATGCTGTTTATCGAATGGTGTTTCCATCGCTGCTTTCTTTTCTCACGCATTGCCGCGTATTCCCTCCTCCACAGCTACTCTTCCTTCTCTCACTTTTCCTTCCTTTCTCTGACTCTAGCTCCTTTCCTCCTCTTACTCCTTACCCCCGCCCTTCCCTGATGGAGTACCAACCTTGTACTCATCCACTCCGTTTCATTCCAAACCCCTCCTTCCCTCCCCCCGCCGCTCCACTTCTCCTGCAGTCGTCAACACGCACACCCTTTCCCCCTCGCCCCTCTTCCCCCCCCCCCCCCAACCATTTTCTCCTGCAGTCGTCAACGCTCATGCGGGAATGGACCTGCCCGTCGACACCAGCGGAATCTACCTCGTGCTCATGAGTGCAGACGTTCAGGTTGACGGATTCTGCGACAAGTTCTGCGGTTACCACACGCTCCGTCAACTGGCGTTGGGAGAGTCAATGGCTGTGGGGCTCGTCGCGCAACCCGACTTGTGTGGTGGATGCAAACCCCACGAGTGAGTGAATGCAAACACAGCGAGTGAGTGAATGCAAACACAGCGAGTGAGTGAATGCAAACACAGCGAGTGAGTGAATGCAAACACAGCGAGTGAGTGAATGCAAATACAGCGAGTGAGTGAATGCAAACACAGTGAGTGAGTGAATGCAAACACAGCGTGAGTGAATGCAAACACAGCGAGTGAGTGAATGCAAACACAGCGAGTGAGTGAATGCAAACACAGCGAGTGAGTGAATGCAAACACAGCGAGTGAGTGAATGCAAACACAGCGAGTGAGTGAATGCAAACATAGCGAGTGAGTGAATGCAAACACAGTGAGTGAGTGAATGCAAACACAGCGAGTGAGTGAATGCAAACACAGCGAGTGAGTGAATGCAAACACAGCGAGTGAGTGAATGAAAACACAACGATCGAATGAATGCAAACACAGCAAGTAAGTGAATGCAAACACAGCGAGTGAGTGAATGCAAACCCCTCGAGTGAGTGAATGCAAACACAGCGAGTGAGTGAATGCAAACACAAGGAGTGAGTGAATGCAAACACAGCGAGTGATTGCTGAAACATCATTATCCCTCCGAGTGAATACCCTCCGACCGCATTCCGCATCCCGCTCCAAAGCCTTGGATTTTACCATGACACTCCAACGTCAATTACCCTATCCAAAAATAAAAAACATGTCCACATATCCCCCACCCCATCCAGCGTGTCGCCTAATGGCATGCCCGGAATTGACAACATGGTCTCCACCATTGGTCACGAAATCACCGAGGCTGCTACCGATCCTGGCGTCGCTACTGGGTGGCTGACCTCTGAAAACAATTAGAACGCCGATTTGTGCGCATGGGAGTTTGGTGAATTTTCTCAGGATACTGATGGCGATGGCAACACTTATGACTACAACATGGTCGGGAATGGTGGGATGTGGTTCATGCTTTCTGCTAACTGGGACCTGATTTCGGGTTCATGCCAGACTCAAGCATAGGTTGTGTTCTAGAACTGGAATTGTGAGGAGTTGTCTTGCTCGGAGATGCTCCCGCACATGCATTCTGCTAGGGGTGTTTCCATTCGGTATTGATTATTACAATGGATGGAATGTAGGGAAATGGTTTGAAACTTGGGGCCCTAGTTTTATTTATGTGCATATGCTTTAAGTTCTGGAAAATGATTTTGACCCGTTTTGTTATGAGTTGTAAAAGAGAGTGCGCAGGTAAACGAATAACGAGACTGTGATTGAATGAACTGCGAATACAATGAAGGCACAGACTAATGTAGGGGCTAGCCTAGCTAGGCGGGAACCTCGGACGAGAGAGGTTGGGTGCAGGTTTGGCGATGCCGAAGGCGACGCGAGGAGCCTTGGCAGCGTTGAGATCGGCCGAATGTGCAAAGTCCGAAAATTGGGGATGTACGCGAAGCAGTCAACCCTGATAAGGAATTCAGGAAAATTCCTTACACTACCCCCCCCCCCCCCCCCCCCTCCCCCCTTTAAGAAAGGCGGTCAATATCCGGAACACGCTTGCGCGCCAAGTAATCAGCAACAAGTGGTGAGGCGTCCAACGAGGCGGAGTGCACCCACATGTCGTCTTCACTGGTGCGGTCAGCCCAACGGATGAAGAAATCCACGTGGCGACCAGCTGCATCAAGGCGAACCCGATGCGCCATAACCTTTGATGGGTCAAGAGTCGGCTCCGGGACAGGTCCTGCTGTAGGGGCAGCATTTTGTCGCGCGATGTCTGTCATGGCTGGCACGAACTTGCAAAGCAGGCTAACGTGGAAGGCGTCATGGATGCGCCGGTCGTCGAGTAGCAACAGCTTCGCGGTGAAAGGTGTTACCATCTTGATAATCTTGAAAGGCCCACAAAATCGTGGCCGTAGTTTTGATGGGCTGGGCAGGTGCAGATTCTTCATGTTAAGTAGCACTAGTTACCCAGTTGCCAAGATGGGGCTTAAATTTTCTTTTGACGTAGCTTCCATGTTTTCGCTGTGTCCCCGTCTTCGACAGAGCTGCTGTTGTCATTCAATGCAGGGCTCTCGTTAGCAGACTAATTTAGTCTGTTGGTCTAGGTTTCAGGCGTGAAATGTATCGTTCAACTGACTCAGTTGCTGCCACGCATATGTCGAGTAGCTCTTGTCGGCGCCGCTGCCAAGCTATTGCCCCTCACCTCGCTGGCAGAGTGCAAGGACAGTCGGTGCACATCAAAACAAAGCATGCACACACCTTCGTGAAACCCTCGTGAGAGAGGCGCGGCGCGGTTCGTGAGGTGATGGTCCCTTCCCTTCCTTTCTTCTCCAAGCCTTTCTTTGACAACCTGCCTTTACCTTTCAATCTTTGACGCCTAGCCCGAAGCATACCTATTGTCCCGTAGCTTGTTCT